CATACACAAATAGCTAAAGAGCACTAGGGACCAGCAGTTGGCGTAATGGCTATGTTGCTAGACTCCTATGTAGTCGATCACTGTTCAAGGCCCGGACCCGGGGGCTTAAACTCACACCAGGTGCATGTGCGTGCATGCCCAAGATCCCAAGGGAAAAATGGAGGAGAAGCGATTGCGGCATGGCCATCCCCCCTGGGGGGTGATTTCTTGCTTTCTATCTATCTCTCTGTCTGATGAATACAAATGCCCTATAGCAAAAACCTCTTAAAAAAAAAAAAAGAAGGCACTAGATTAGATATTTATCCTATACAAACTACAGCAAAACAATCTAACATTTTGAGTATTTTCTTGTTTTTTTTTCAAGTAATTAGAAATGACTGCCCATTAAACTTGTTCATGGATTAAGCTGCATTTTCTTACAGCTGTAGTCCCCCTTCATTAAAAGATTTAGTAAGAAAATAGTGTCATTCAAAACAAGACTTTAATCATTGATTTTTTCACATGGCATTTTTCTTGCATCAGAGTGTATAATTATGAAGGACTGATTCGTAAAATACTGAATTTAGGTAAATTTGCTTGCAGTTTGTCTACGATAAATGTGAATTGAAAAACTGAAATACTCTATATTGAACTCCATCTACAATAGCACTTCAGCATCTGAATAAGTTGCTAAAATAAATAACCTTTTCATGGACTATAATGATCCATTTTTGTTTGGGGTAGATAATCAATTAACTGACTTCCTATTTGCTTTTTTGTTTGTTTGTTTGTTTGTTTTTGGAGAAGTTTTCACTATAAGGCACGTGCACTCACCAGACAGACAGAGAGAGACAGAGAGACAGAAAGCGAGAAATCATCCCCCGGGGGGGATGGCCACACCACAATCCCTTCTCCTCCATTCTCCTCTTGGGATCTTAGGCACTCACGCACACGCACATAGCGTGAGTTTTACACCACCGGGTCCGGGACGCGAACCGCGGTCGACTACATGGGAGTTCAGCGACATAGCCATTACGCTAACTGCTGGTCCCTTGTTTTCATTATTTTTTAAAAAGTTGTGACAGTTGAAGATAAATATCTAGTCTTTTAGTGAAGAACACTTTGATTTTCCCTAGTGTCAGTGTGTACGTGGAGGAAGAAACTTCAACCTGAAACACTTTGTCATTTTGGGTTATAATGGTGACTAAGATGTAAAAGTTCTTAATGGACCAGTAACAGCACCTACCTGGTCTCTCCCTTCCCCAGGAGGAATGAGGATATTAAGAGGTTTAGCAATTAAAATATCTGATTCTTTGTCTTCACTTCATCTTATTTGAAAAAAGAAAAACCATCTCTCGTGGATCAGCCTGGCACAGGAGTACACCAGAAGATGGCGTTGAAGATTAGCAATCATTTGAAAACAAGGTAGCGGGGTAAAGTTTCAGAAAGTTTCAAGCAATGACTGTTGTTTTGAACTTTTAAAAGCAGAGGATGTGGATGAGTGAGGAAAATGTTGAAACTGACTAAACCCAGTGCAGAGGACACGTGTCCGAAAGTGCAAGCAGTTCTCATTTGCCAGTTTTGCCTTGATGAGTGTCATGATATCTGTTATATTCATGAAGGCAGCCAGCTTTGCTCTATACACTGAGTGACAGAAGTAGGTGCTGACGTGATCGCTGTCTAATAAAAAAAAATTTAAAAATCAGTGAGAGGAGAAGAAAGGAAGAAAAACAGGTTGTGGACTAGATTTTTTTTTTTTTTTTAACTAAACCTTGCTGTTTGTTACACAGACGCTGCTCATGGAAAACTTAAACTGGGGTGAACTAAACACATGGCATCCTGTTCACTTCTGAGAAAGTGTGTTCATTTTAGGAAAAGCATACCTACCTATCCCTGTGAGCTCAGACCTGTTTTTGCACTAGCCTAAACTCAAGTGTCTTCTTTGATGAAAAGACATTACTTTAGTATCTACGGTTCAAAGACAAACTGAGAAATAAGTGAAATCAAAAGCTTTTCAAAAGGTGCGACTTGACTTGGAGTGGCGGCGGTCTAAAATCATACAGAAACTGGCGAACGGAGAGTTTACCTAAAAATGCTCAGTAAATAAACATGCTCAGAGCAACCAAGGTGCAAATACCGGGTGTGTGTGTGTGTGTGTGTGTGTGTGTGTGTGAAAGGTCAGGGAATTAATTTGGAGATAAATTTTGAAATCAAAGGCATCTTTAAATTAAGTAAAATCCCAGTTCTACTTCAACGTTATTCCTGTTTGGGGGCATTCATACTCCACTACTGAGCTGCCTTCTAGCAGGTGGAGGTTGTATTGTCATTGTAAGGCAAACTGAACTCCTCCCAGAAAGGCTTAATAAGCCTTTGGCTACTCAGGATCCCCCCACTCCATTTGCTTTCATGTTGCCATCATTGAAATTTGGGGGGCTATGCATTGTATGAGTCACCTTGATTCACCAGTTCAGTAGATGCAAAGGTGTGTTTTAAATAAGCAGACACTATTTGAACCGCGGTTTAGACAATAGTTCAAAAGATCTGGCCAATTTCCTATTTTCTTTTTCATGAGGGTTACGTTCTCTAAAAACCTCAAAAGGGCAGGGTCTCAGGGACCGTGGCCTTGCCTAGGGTGCTCCTTCACCCCTTCACCCCTAGTTCTTCTATTTAGACCCGGCAAGGTTACAGGTTATGCCGGCAAAGTCCCCTTCGCACCCGATTCCCGCTATTACACGCCCCCCACTTCCCGCCCTGGCCTGCAGCTGCTGGTGAGCCGTCAGTGGTTACTGACAAGCCTTGGGCAGGTCCTGGCGGAGAGGGCAGCCCCATTTCGCACCTCTCGCTTCGCGGGAAACGTCCGCTCGAGGTGCACCCTTCGGGCCCCGCGCGTGGCGGGTCGCCGAGCTGGGCAGAGGTCCCACTCCGGCCTCAACTGCTTCTCGCCCCCGACAGGTCCCTGAGGCTCGCCAGCCGGCTCTGGGTCTGGGCTCGCC